GCTTTCTAAGCAAAAAGCATGGGGTGGTGAGGGGAAAACAGAGGCCAATTAAGCCGAGATATCTCTCTAGGAGGTAAATGGGCATGATTTAACGAGGACGGCAGGAGAGGTCATCGTAACTTTGGCTTTGTCTGGCAAAAGACTAGTTAGCGGACACAGCAGAGCCATAAACAAGGGGTGGAAGATCTTGATACTGATACTGTTACATGACTTTAGTGTGATACAGAAATCTTAAATTTATGCATTCATTCATGTTCTTTTTGGCTTAGTTCTTTTATTAATCTGGGGTCAACACAGCAGAATGAGCCACCAACTTATCCAGCATATGTTTATGCAGAACACTACGGACAATTTAGCTTACCCAATTCACCTATACCACATGTTTTTGGACTTGTGTGGGAAACCGGAGCACGTGGAGAAAACCCATGCAAACAAAGGGAGAACAAGCAAAGAAATGTCAAATTATAGATATATTTTAATTGTGCAGAAACTGTAAAAATGTGTAGACACGTTTACTGTTTTTCTTCAAAGGGACGTTCTAGTCACTTTAATATGAATCCAGCGGTTTCATGAAAAGGAATTCTCGTCACAGTCGACTTATCTGTGAAGCTTGTGTGAGTTTTACAACACTAATGGTGATAGAAGCTTTGACTCTACCCTATGAATGGGGCCAGACAGAATCTGCGGACATTTTTTGCTATTTCTGCAAATATTCTAGAATATTGTAAAAATAATCTGTGGATTTATGCGGAATAATTTTGTAACTTATTACAAATATGTAACAAAAAGTACCTTTTTAACTTTTACTTCATGTTTACAATGCAAATCCAATTAGATCCATTTATTTGATAAACAGCAAGTCTGTCATATTAGACAGAAATGATTACTTTACTAACTATATTGTTAGTAAATCATATGACCGTTTTTATATTGGTCAGAAATATTACTAAAATTAATTCAAAAAGTGAATAAATATAAATGTAGACACATTTCCACACAATTAAATAAATAGACTCAATGATGGGCTGAAAATCTGCGAAAATCTGCGGATTTCTGCGTGCGCAGATTCTGTGTAGGCCTAACTATAATCTGTGGTCAAATTCTGTTGGCGTGCTGCGAAAATAGTTGGGATAAAACACAAGATGATACAACACTGATCAAACGAGCGATTGATCCATATTTTATATTTCAGCACAGAGAGGTCATGTTTTGATCTGCTATTGGTCTCACACATCCATTCATTTTCCTGTGGCTTAGTCCCTAATTTATCAGGGTGTGCCACAGTGGAATGAACCGCCAACTACTCTGGAATATATTTTACGCAGCAGAATTCACACATTCATGTCAGAGTTCATCAAGATTGAACTTTGGAATGCAACAAAACGCAAAACATGTCCCACAAGCTTGCGTTTCCAGTCTAGCACATTTTGTCACCTTGTTAGAATTATAAGACTCTGACGTTTTTGTCAAAATTGAGGTATTTACATATTCTTATTAAATGACAACTTATATACATTATGGGATGTTTTTTATAAGTTGTTTACATTTTAAGACTTTTTTTAAAACATTTGCTATGGATTGCAAAAACTTTAAAGCTCAATATCTCAAATTCATTGAGAACGTAGATAGAACCTTATAATTCCAGGGTGACTATTTATTTGCATATGAATGGAAGTCAAAAGAGTAAAAAAAATCGCAGTGTGACTGCAGCTTAAGACTTAAAAAGCATTTACACATGAATTAAACATTTCATATGTAAGTATGCTGTCCCTGCTTGAATGAATTTTATTGCCGTCATTATTTAGAACGTGCCCCTTTAAAGTTTTCATTGTTCACTCCAGTTCGATGATTTTTGTAAATATTGTTTTCATGTCTTTTTTCCCCTTTTCTGCAAATATTGACAAATGTCCTAAATAGGTTGTGAAATATCTGATATCCGAAATCTGCCAGGAAGTTTCTATTATACCTAGAAAGAGCTTATTTAGCTGGACCGAGTTTGGACTCCCTGGCTTAAGTGTTCTTATTATTTGATCTATTATGGCTGCTCAACTTCTCCCAAAATACATAAAAATATGGTTGTTTAACTGGGAGAAGAAAAGAGTAAACATTCTAGTAGCCTAAAGAGTGTCTGATATCTGATATGAATAAAGTATATTGTCCAATAAGGTTTCAAAATAATTATTTTGTCATCTCCATAGATATCAGAGTGTATTTTATAAACCATAAATGTTATGTTTTGCTAGTATTGATGTGTATTTAAATGTCTGAATAAACTGATTTATGTCAAGCACCACAGGTCTTTCTCTGGCTCAGTGCGAGCTATCACGGGAAAGTAGATTTGACTTCAGCAGCTGATCGCGTGATGCACTAAACTTTCTAACCACACTGTTGCGATCGTCAAATGGTTAAAATGTTTACCAATTTTTGTTGTCCATTTATATAGCAACTGTTTTGTTGCATAAACACTGCAAACAAAAACTAGTTTTAAAGTGCAAGCATTTGAAAATGTTATCATTTTAAAAAAAAAACAGCTAATTTGTACAAAGTTCATGCACATGAGACCTACGTTTTCGCTCTGCAGTCATGTGTGAGTACTTGTCAATCAAAACAGCAATGGTAGACTACAGGACTGCATGTGTGCAAAAAAATAGGGGTTCTTTACAAAGTGACATTGCCACCTACTGGCCTGGCATAATACAGAATTGTAACTTTTTTTCACACATTTGTATGTGTAGAGATTGCTTTGCCATTTTTTATGCAAACTTCAAAAACCCAATGTCTTGGCAAACCATTTTTCCATATTTTAATAAGCAAAAAGGCTATGTACAAACTTTTGTATGCAATAGTAAATCTCACTGAAATGTGTTAGATTAATATTATGATGTATTAATAATGTAAAACAAATACATGTAATTCAAAGACATATCTGACCCAAATATGAAAGTGCATCATTGTTTATTTACTCACCTTCCGATCATCCAAGATGTGGATGATATTTTTTTCTTCAGTAAACTTTAAATAAGATTTTTAGTTGAAATCATGGTCCTTGGTGAATATATATATATATATATATATATATATATATATATATATATATATATATATATATATATATTCTATATAATTTTTTATTTATTTTTGTATATAAATTTTAGAATTTTTTAACACCATTTTGGTGACAATACATTATGTACATCTTTTATGAATTCCCAAGGACCACAGTTTCAGCAAAAAAACATGTCGTGGACATCCTAAAGTGAGTAAATTTACAGCATATTAAAATTTTTGGGTGCACTATTCCTTTAAAAAATCTTGTTTTGTGATGTTTAGGATGAGTTTTACTGAAAATGACAAAATACTGATTATGTAACTGCCATGAGTCCTTAATAGAATGCATGTATGAAATGGTTAATACCCTTTTCCACCAAAACGGTGCTGGTGCTCGGGGGCGTTGTACCACGTTTTCATTGTCTTGAGTGAAATAACTGTTTATCCATAACCTCCCCAGATGTCTTTTTTCAGACAGGCAGATTTCTGGGCATATCCCATTCAAATCCATTTAGGCTTAAAAGAGAAAAACACAAATAAATCCCATGATTACAAACCCAATCCAAATCGGAGTCCATTGGATCTCAAATTATAACATATCTAAGCCATTGGAAACTAAATATGAGTCATCTTTTTTTTTTTGGACACAGTGTATGCATTAAAATCTGACTGTAAAAAACACAAACACAAACTAAATGTTCAATTTACCCTAGTTGTTGAATGAGTTTCAACTCATTACTGTAGCAGCTACAGATGTAGATATAGAGACTGAGCAGTGTCTGTAAAATGAATTGAATTTTATAATTTGTGAAATGACGTTAGCCAGGTTTCCAATCCAAAATGAACCAAATGAAAATCTAAAGTTTGCAAAAAACAAATGCAAATTGAGTGCATTTCCATCAAGCTGTTTGAGCAGCTAACTGTGGTATTGGTAACTTAGCAACCAACAGCAAAAAGCATGTATAATGGAGTTGTAAGGGAAGTAAAGTAGCATTTATTCGTCAAATAAGTTTTTGTCTCCTATTTTGGGCATTAACTACTTTCATACAAATCAAAACCATGTCTAGATAAGCATAAACATTGAATAAGCAAATTAAGTTTATCTTATATTGGAAATTTGGAGTTTCTATCACTTGTTTCTCATGCGCTACTTCAAAATGCGCTTTAACACACACGGTGATGGAAACCCAACTAGTGTAAACATCCTAATCATAGTTGTGTGTGGTATGAATGTCTTTTTGTATGTTTTGTATGATAATTAAAATAATAAAAAAGGACTATACTACGTTGACGTCTTTGAAACCAGATATTTGTTAAAGGAAACCAAAATGTTTACTAAGATGAAACCAAAAGCTCTTTTTAGTGACAAAATATTATGTTAATGTAACCACAATGCTTTAAAAACAATGAGAAAAGCAAACTATAAATGTTTTAGGAGTTCAGTATATGATAAATAAAATTCATAGCAATCAATTGACACATATTTGTAAATAAAATCTTTTATTTCAGACAGATGGGGAAAATAAAGTGGTTTGAGTAGCTTTGCAGCACAGCAAAAGTAGGAACATAAAAAAAGAGGACAAAACAGAAAGTCAGAAGCTGCATTGGGCAATTCCATTTAGCTTTTCTTGATTTTAAAAAATGAACGATCTAGTCCTGTCATGAGTTGCTGTTTTGGAAACTTTATCCCGCCCTTTGGTCCCTGGCAATAATGGTGGCTATTTAAAGACCAGCAGGATTAAGAGATGGAGTCAATTTGGTCCTTGGTTATTTCATTGGAAAAGCACGGGATGGGGCCGGATTGGACAGCGGCTCCAGCACCAGCACCAGCACCAGCACCGGGGGGTCAGTGGAAAAGGGGTATGAGAGTGGGTCATTGTGTTAGAATAGTGGTACTCTATGGGTTGTGGTATGAGTGTGTAATCCGTTGTTGAGGCTGATGCTGCGCTCACGTTTGTGGTTGTTCTTGCGCTGGAAGGGCAGTGTGTGGCGTTCAGAGTCTTCCTCACCCTCCTCGTCCGCCAGGTGTGTGTGAGTGTAATGGTAACTCAAACCTGGACGGTTCTTGTATCGCTTTCCACAAACTGAACACAAAGAAACACACAAGGAAACAAACAGACAGTCAAAAAAAGGTTCAGCTGTTTATTATTATTATTGTTATTATTGTTGTTATTATATTAACTTATTATTATTATTTACTATCACATTTTTAGTACTTTTTAATCATTTGTACATTATTGTTTAGTTAGTATTATCTGTAAAAATTATTTAATAAATCATTTAGTTTAATAATTATATTTGTATAGCAGCAGCTATTATAAATTTTTATATTATTTCAAGAGTTCACACTAAGCTCACGACTCACAAAGCTTGTTAGGCAAGCTGTCCCGGGAGAGAGCCCTAAACTAAAGGGATCCTCGAGTCCAGGGCTCCCTCCTATAATGGGCGAGGGGAGACTGAACTCAGGGTGATCTCAAAACTCTCCCGGAGCTAGGGCCAACGTGAACTTCCGGAGAGCAAGATGTCTAGTAAAAGAGACTTAGGTTTAAGTGGACTAAAATATAGAGCGTATTTAGGCTTTGAGAGAAAACCGAAGAAACCTGTGCGGACACACGGAGAATGCGTCAGCTCTACACAGAAACGCCAGATGCTCCAGCAAGGAGCCAGAGCCATTGGAATTCCTGCTGGTCGCTGGGCCACCGAGCCACCTATTCTGGATAAAGGTGGAAGAAGGGGAGGAGGGGGTTTCTTCAAGACGAAGATAGTTGTAAAGAGAAAAGGAGCATATATATAGGAACTTAGGAACCTTTGATTGGAGGATCGTGATTAGCTGATGTGAGCCAGCTGGTTTATGAGCGCGTACTCCTCTCGAAATTAGTTTAAGATATTAAACTTCACTTAATATCAATAATTGAAATGTTTATATCAACAGATTGTTATGTTGGTATTTTAATTTAATCAGAGAAATAATATACTTTATTAACCTTTAATATAGGTTAATAAAATGACTTACAAGTGTTTTATTTGAAATATATACATCATTATTTACTAACTTATTTTAATTTACTATATTTTTAACTTATTTAATATGCAAATATAACATTTAAAAAATAAAATGTAGAACAAATGTTTTAAATACAATTATAACTATGCAAATATAGTTAATCTAATACTTAAATACTGTTTACATTTATAACTTAAAGTTAAAAAAAATGTATTTTGTATGTACTTTCAAATATAATAAAGTACAATAATAAGTAAAATATTTATATAGTAATAGATCATATACACATATATATATATTTAATATTAGTAATTGATCAATAACCACTTTATTAAATGTATTATATTTGTTAAATAATATTTAAAATTCTATCTATTTTAATTAATGCATGTAAACATTCATTGACTTATTGCCCATGGAAAAAGAGCATATAAAACATTAGCCCCTTTCACACATACAAACCTAACTGGAAAATTACCGGCAATTTTCTAGAAAGGGATCATGTGTGAACAGGCTCTTACTGAAAATACCGGTGAATTCGTTCTGGCAATTTTCCAGGAAAAGAAGTTGTAACATTACTGTTAATTTGCCGGAATGCTGCTCTGTGTGAATGCAGAAGGAAGATTGCCGGAAAGAGCACGTTCATGCTTAGAACATGCTCACATCCTTGCTGTTTATGAAAATAAAAGCCTTGGAATATTTTTCCAGACACATTTAGCTGCTAGGTGTTAGTCAGACAACATTTCTATGTTCATTATTAATGCCAACTGTGTAAAAAATTGTAGATGAAATGCCTATGATAAACTGCTGTTTGTTTACCTTCAAGCTCTGCTTCAGTTGCTTAAAGCGTGTGCACGTGAAGCAGCCAGTGTGCGCCAGCATACACACATATTATGAACATCTCGACATGTAAAGGTGTCCCTTCATATATTTTCATCAAAGTTATTCACAATACTTATCCATCCACAGAACTTGTAATGTCATCAAATGTGTAAACATTTAGCTGCGGTTCGCGCTTCTGCCTTTGGATGCGTCTGGGACAAAGCAGCTGCACGAATGCTAAAGCTTTAAAATAAAACTAAAACCATCAACAAAAGCCCGACCCCTTCTATGTGTACAAATACAAGCGCAGCGTTTAGAGCTCATATCTGGGTAATGATGTCAGAATTTACAGATATTTTGGAATGGATGTGTGAAGGGTCTTTTTTAGAAAAATTCTTGAACATCCTTGTCTGTGTGAACAGCACATTTTTGAATTCACCGGACAAATTTAACAGATATTTACCGGTATCGATGTGTGAAATGGGCTATTGTCACACAAGATGAATCGCCATAGTGAAACTTGTCATTAAGCATGCCATTATCGGGAGGACAGCACTGTACACGTTTATCTATGGTGCTCTAGTACTAGTCTCCCACTGCCTGCTTCAACAACAGAGCTATACTGTGTTTATTAGTTTAGCATGATACTCACTGTCACACACATATGGCTTGTCTCGATCCTCCAGAGATGCTGGATCCTGTCTCTTTCTCATCCCACCAATACCACATGCCTGGACACATAAAAACACAAAAATCACACATGTAAACATGCACAAGTTCATTTAGCAGTCCCAATAAAACATAATAGTTTTATTCACTCATTTGTAATAACTGATTTATTTTATCTTTGTCATGATGACAGTAAAAATATTTGACTAGATATTTATCAAGACAGTTCTTTACAGCTTACAATGACATTAAATGGCTCAACTAGGTTAATTAGGTTAACTAGGCAGGTTAGAGTAATTTGGCAAGTTATTCTATAACGATGGTTTGTTCTGTAGACTATCGAAAGAAAAATTAGCTTAAAGCTAATAGGGGCTAATTATTAAGGGATAATAATTTGAACCTTAAAATGGTTTTTAAAATTAATTTAATTCTAGCCGAAATAAAACAAAAAAGACTTTCTCTAAAAGAAAAAATATTGTCAGACATACTGTGAAAATTTTCTTGCTCTGTTAAACATCTTTTGAGAAATATTTAAAAAGAAAAAAATGCTAATAATTCTGACCTCAACTGTATATATATATAAATAGGAGCAAATAAAATAAAAACAAATTGTACTCTTTGTTAAAGCCCCAGGGCCTAATGTGTTCTTATTCTGTTTCTTCTGACAACTAATAAAAAACCTAAGTAAACAATATTAATTATTATTATTATTATTATTATTATTGTTGTTGTTGTTGTTATATAGGCCTTGCTCGGAAGCAATCATGCAAACCAGGTTCTGCTCGGAAATGGCTATCTTTGCTCAGCCTCAGGTGCACAGCAGCAAGATGTTTGTCAGCAAAATATGACATGATTTTAATAACAAATGTGTAATAACATTACTAATTTATGTTTTTATTTAATTTATGCATATGCAATGAATGTAAGCCTGCTAACATACATATATATAATTAAGTAATAATATTTAATAGCCTGGATCCGCTAATGGTCCGCTAAGGACTATTGTTTTAAAGGCGACGTCACAAGCTCAGGTTTGGATGAACAATTAGAAAATAAAAGGATAAAAGGTTTCAGCATGTGTATAATTAATTTTAAAGTAGTTTATCCATTTTCCTACACTAAAAATTAAAAAAAAAATTAATAAATTTTTTTTTTTTAAATTTTAATCGAGCCAATGTGGCCTCGATATTTTGAAGGACTTTCCACCTCTGCCATTCAAATGCATTTCACATGGCCATATGAACAGTCAAAAACTTGTAAACAAAGGGGTCAGTGATATTTTGGGAGGAGATTTGCTTTCAGAAGTAAGTTTATTACCTCAGAAGACCAGCGTGAATGGACACGTCATGATTCTGATATGTACATTTTTTTAATGGTGGTTATGTAAAAGAGGTTTGTGTCATGTACAACATAAATTCTGCAAAATATTGTTGTAAACTTTGGTCATTTTAGGCCACAAAAATGTCATTAAATTTATTAAAGCTTATTTACAGTTGGCGACTGGTTTATTTTACACAGGTGCGGATGGGGAAGTATGGTTATTTAGTCCCCTCGGCAGCCCCCCACTCCACTTCCTTCTTCCTTCTTACAGCAAATCCTCTTACACAGCATTAATTATACCTCACACACCATTATCACAGCATCTCTTCTGTGTGGGGAGTGACAGATCTTACAGGAAGTTGTGTGCCCCAATTAACAGCACAGAAGGTGAGAGATTCGAGGGATGCGGGCCAAGACTTTTTGTTTGTTATCCTCATATGGAAATCTGCTAGACTAGAATACTGAAACTCCAGTCATTTCTGCCAGGAACGAGCTCTGTGCACTGACATGGGAATTCTGCTGATGAATTTGAATTAAAGTAGTAAATAAGATGACAATTTGTTATTCAAAGCATGTAAATGGAGTAAAAATGCAATAGAACAAGGCTAGGTATTGGTTTAACCATATTTTTACTCAAAGTTATATTTCTTGACAATTAACTAAAATAAAATACATTTGAAATTTTTACAAATATTTTTTTTTACTTTATCAGGGGTTGCCACAGCGGAATAAACTGCCAACTACTCTGGCATATATTTTATACAGTGGATGCCCTTTCCAGCCGCAACCCAGCACTGTGCTGGAAAATTGTAATATTTTTATTAGTTAAAGTTTATAATGAAGTTCAATTTTTGTTTTAGTTAACTACAATACTCAGCTACACACAACATACTGTATGCCAGAACACTTGGTGGTTAATTCCACTGTGGCAATCTCTAATAGATCAGGGACTAAGCTGAACGAAAGTAAAAGAGTACAATAACCACTGTTATAGTCATATTCTATACTGTAATATAATATAATATAATATAATATGATATAATATGATATAATATGATATAATATAATATAATATAATATAATATAATATAATATAATATAATATAATATAATATAAAATAATATAATGTAATATAATATAATACAATATGGGGGCAACGCAGTGTGTGTGGATGTTTCCCAGAAATGGGTTGCGGCTGGAAGGGCATGCGCCACATAAAAACGTGCTCGATAAGTTGGCGATCCGCTGTGGCGACCCCGGATTAAAAAAGGGACCGAAAAGAAAATGAATAAGCCGAAAAGAAAATGAATGAATGAATGAATATACAATATGATATAATATAATACAATATGATATAATATAATATAATATAACATAACATAACATGATGCTGTGCAGTAATTGTTTTGATTTTGTAATTGTTTTGACAGCACTAAATTCAGAAAAATATTTACATAATCAGCTTATAAAAAAAAATTTGGGGCCTGTGTGTCCTACATTGCTCAACAAACTGATGCTATTGCCTTGAACTGCCATTGTTTGAGACAATATTGCCTACTGGATCGTATGCTGAAATAACTAAAATTGTTACGTCTTATGATAGGATCTTTTGATAACAACAATTTCCACATTTTACAATTTTGCAACTCCAATTTTTGCATGAAAACGTATCAATCTAACATGCAAATTTATGTCAAATACATCAACCACCATATTTCAATCCACACTCCCTGCTTAATAATAATAACTCATGAGTATCTCGGTCAGGCGAGCTTTTGTCATTGTTACTGCAGTTGCATGCATTTCTACACAGGACCACTTTCCACCCCAGCCTTTCATGTATGTGGGGTTATAATTACAGATGAACTCGGCCATGTCTTCGGTGTGCTATCACACATCAGGTGTTGTCTTTAAAGTGGTATTAAAAGATGTTTTTCATGCGGTTGGGAAGAAGCTGCTTTGAATCAACACAAAGCCAGAGGAACGCAATGATGAAAGGTACGCTGGGATCAAACCTGGAGATGTGCTAAACAGCCATAATGGATCAATGGCTGATGAGCTACAATGGCCTGCTTTGTTCAGACAGCAGCCTTGAAGAAATGGGAATCCTAGATTAAACAAAGACCCTGCAGGCCTCACTGCAAACATACAGGTCTGTGATATATTCATTTCAAACCGTCAGTTTGGGTTGTGGATCTAATTGCTACCTAAAGCAGTGGATCCCAGCTGGCCATTTGCGACCTGAAAATGCATAGCAGGTCTCTTCTGACACAGACACAAGGAAATAAACAATACTAGATGTAAATTACACTAAATGAGTAAAGTTTGATGACAAATTTTAATGTTAGCCTGACAAAGCTGCATGAATTAGCATGTTTCTAGCATGAATTAGCATAATGACAGCACAATCTATGCTGGTTTGGTAGGTTAAAACATGACAGCTGATTTTAGTCCTTGTTAGTCATATGCTAGTCCTTGCTGGATCTTAGCTGATCCAGCACATGACCATTAAAACAACAACAACAACAACCAGCATATAACATCTTTAAGAATGAATTAGTATGTTGATAGCAGGAATGAGCATGTTAACACTTTAGCTTGTTGCTATATGATTAAGCATTTTCTAAAATGTTTCTAGCATGATATAACAAGTTGTCATCGATGGTTAGCATACTGTTAGCATAAATATGCATGTTTTATTTTGAATATGCTATATGTTAGCAAGATTAGCACGTTGTCAGCTATTTTCTAGCAAGAATAACAATCTGATATGTTGCTATCAAACCGTCAGTTTGGGTAGTGGATCTAATTGCTACCCATAGCAGAGGATCGCTGGACATTTGGCACCTGAAAATGCATAGCAGGTCCCTTCTGACACAGACACAAGGAAATAAACAATACTCGTTGTAAATAACACTAGATGAGTAAACTTTGATGACACATTTTGATGTTAGCTTGACATGAATTAGCATAATGACAGCACAACCTTTGCTAGTTTGGTAGGTCCTAAAACATGGCAGCTGGTTTTAGCCTTTGCTAGTCATATGCTAGTCCTTACTGGAACTTTGCTGGTCCAGCACATGACCAATAAAACAACAACACCAACAACCAGCAAGTAACCTTTTTAAGAATGAATTAGCACGGTGATAGCAGGAATGAGCATGTTGTTATCATCTTTTCAACATCAATTGGCATGTTTTATCAAGTATTGCAAAAACTAGTATGAACTGACATGTTTCTAGTATGAACTGACATGTTAGCAAGGTTAACATGTTGTTAGCATGTTACTAGCATTAATTCACATCCTGCTAGTATGCTTCCAATATCAACTGACATGTTTTAGCATGTTTCTACAGACAGGTTAGCCAGTTGTTAACAATTCTAACATAAATTAACATGTTGTTAGTGTAATTCTAGTGTCAATTAAAATGTTGCTAGAATGATTCTAGCATGATCTAGCATTGTTAACATTTTAGCTTGTTATATGATTAAACATTTCTAAAATATTTTTAGCATGATATAGTAAGTTGTTAGCAAGGGTTAGCATATTGTTAGCATGCATTTTCTAGTATGAACTGTATTTTCTAATGTTGTCAGCATGTTTCTAGCAACAATTAAAAATTTTAAGAGTTGCTATCAACGTTTTGGACACTTATAAAATATTTCAAGCATGATTTAACAAAGTTGTTAGCAATGTTAGCATATTGTTAGCATGAATTTGCATGTTTCCTGGATGAATCAGTGCTTTCAGCAAATAACACAGTGATAACATGTTCTCGCATGGTTTCTCACTGTGTGTTCTCACACAAGAATAAATGTTTCGATAATAATTGCTTGCAGACAGATAACGAAGAGCCACAATGCAAATGTGTTACAGATTTACATAGATCAGTTACAGAAGTGAAACTGGTATTGATAACAAATTGTTTTGATTACATTCTTCTTTTAGAAGGCTATGACTTTACTCAATGTGCACTTTGATATTTCAGACTTTTCACATTCATAGCTACAGCTACAAGATGTATGAAAGGTAATATTTAAAAATAGGGGCACTTTAAAATCAATCCCAAAGAAAAACCAGCAGAGTTTTAAAAGTGCTGTAAGTAATCAGCCTGCAAAACAGAATGATTCACTGTAGTATAGGAATGATCCTTATTCATCATTATTAATTAGTGACTGCATGTAACAGCTGCATGTGTTTTACCCGTCCTTTGGTGCGATTCTTGCGTTTGGGAACGTCCTCCTCCATTTCCTCCATGTCCAGCTCATGAGGAAACTCTCCCATCAGCAGCTTCTGTAAGCACAAGAAAAGACCAGCACACATGAGTCAGCCGCACTACATGAACAACACTGGAATGGCAAACAAGCTGCTGCAGGAAAGACAAGAGAGAGTGGGAGAATACCAGACCTTGAAAACAACTATAGGGAAACCAAGCTTCACATCGGTTCGCAATAAACATTGGTTTGTAATGGCAAAACACAATTGTTGGGGTTGCAGTTACTGTAATACACACACAAAAAGATGATCTGATTCTGACAACAAAACTCTAAGAGAAACGTCAGACAACATGTTGCCTTCCAAACATTCATCTTTTGCTTTAATTAATGGGTGATTTCATTGAGAAGGTAGAACATTTGGCTGACTTGAATTATCAAGAGTGTAGAAAATATATGATGAAGACAGGAGTCTTGTTGCCATGGCTCTATAATCCTTTCCTCTATTGTCTATCTCCTCCTAGTAGCACCAACAGCCTCATCTCTTATTCGGTTTGCAGTATTTCTGACTGGTCTAGACATGAGCTGCGTCCCAAATTGCAAACTATACACTATGCACTTATGCACTACATACTTATGCACTTACACACTCAACAACATTGTATATGTATGAAGTGTAGTGGAATACTAAGTTTTTTTTTACTAAGTGGAAATTCAAACCATTTTCCTGATGATGTTTGATGGTTGCCAAATTAGTAAAGTAAACGACCAAAGTACCAAAAAATACTTGCCATGAGAATAAGAATTCACCATTGGGAGGCGGTATAATCACTCTTGTAGGAGAATTTTGCTTTCACAATTCAAAATAACTAAAGTAAGCTAACATGTGTGCCCGATAGCTCCACCCCTTCTGCTACATGAGCAAAGCTGCGTTCGTGGAGTACATGAAGTGTCCATCATTCCACACTTAATTTTACCAGTTGAATAATGCCCAATCCCGATTCTATTTTTGTACCCCTACTCTTCCCCTTCCTCTTCCCCTTGGCCCTTACAACTGAGGGTTAAGGGGAAGGGCTTTAAATTTACCCCTAAGAATTGGGACAGCACTAAAGCACCTGCACACGTCATCATATGTCATCGGGATCTCATGCTTCATATGAGATCAGACGATGGCGACTGCTGTAGTTATTCCAGCTGTTCTATTTTTTTAGCATTTCTATTCAGGAAATCACTGAAGGCATATATTATGTTATCATAACGACATAATGTGGCAATAAGATCGTAACTGTACTGTGCATTTACACAGTGGCCATATTCATCTGCATCTGCATTCATATTTATTCTGACAGGGTATTCGAGTGTCATCGAGTGTCAGAATGTTGTGGGACTGCTATACAGGAAATGCTATTTGGGATTATAGATAGCGAAATTTAGCAGTTTTTTTTGCGTTTATTTTAAAAAGCATGACGGTAAAACATGAACATGGTTATGAATATATTAAAACATGTGTTTGTTTATCGTAAATATTTGTAATAATGACAAAAAATACTAATTTATAAATCTCCTTACTTCCGGGTTCAGCAATACTGCTGTTGTGGCTGGTGAATTCTGAGAAATTTTCTTACCCCTTGGTTTCGAGTGTGGTAGTGAAAAATCTTTGTTCAAAGGGCTATTCACCCCTTCCCCTTAGCCCTACGCCTTTAAGCTAAAGAGAATTGGGACACCCCTACAACTTGATGTAAACACGCAAAAGGAAGGCTAGGGGTGAGGGGAATGGCTAAGATGTAGAATTGGAATTGGGCCTAAGTGCATCAACCGGGCAATTAAAGTGCACTTATTATTTTTAGAGTTTTCAGTGTGAATGCACTACTTACACTATTTTTACTACAAAATGGCATAGAATAGTGTATACATATGCAATTTGGGACTATGGTTTAATCGTAAATCCTATATGTGCCACCAGAGTTACTGTTATTTTGTTAATGTTTGTATGCAAAATTGAATGGGAAACTTCATCATCATCATCATCATCATCATCATTATTATTTTAATCTGCTTATCTGGGGCCTGGTCGCGGGGGCAGCAATCTTAGGAGAGAACTCCAGACTTCCCTCTCCCCAGTCACTTCCTCCAGCTCCTCCGGGGGGATCCCGAGGTGATCCCAGGCTAGTCGGTTTATACTTCTGCGTCAAGTGATCGGTGTGACCCACGGTGCATGCAACACGAGTAGCTGTGCATTATTCTTCTGCGCGCTGTTTCTTTTGCTCTGCAATAACACTTCCGAAACAATAGTTGGCAGTGAGGTGTTAATATTCCTCTGTGTCGAGTTTCTTCGCTGGTGTTCTGTTTTTTCTGAACACTTCCTGAATGTACAAGTGGCTTAAACTCGCTCATTTTGAGGCAGGGACCAGCGGACGTGCAACAACTTTAACCATGAGGTAAACACAAAATAAAACTTTCCATCTGGAGCTCCTTCATGGGACTCCACACTTGTAAACACTTGCTCCATCGGGCTCGCACGGCCCTCGTCCCTGCCCAGACTCGTCAACGCTACCAAGCGGACCAATCACAGAGCTTGTGCTATGTGTCATTACGACGTGTAGTTACATTTTTTGAGAGGTGCGTGTCAGCGATGCTGACGCCACGGCGTAGAGCTATGTGTCAACGCGTTGGCTGCGTCGTAGCATATGCATGTGCTTGACGCAGAAGTATAAATCAGCCTATGGTCCCTCCAGCATGTCCTGGGTCTTCCCCGAGGCCTCCTCCCGGTGGGACATGCCTGGAACTCCACCCTAGGTAGGCTTCCTGGAGGCATCTGAAACAGATGCCCGAACCACCTCAGCTGACTTCTCTCGATGTGGAGGAGCAGCGGCTTCTACTCAGAGCTCATCCCGGGTGACAGAGTTTCTCACCCTGTCTATAAGGGTGAGCCCTCCCACCCTGCGAAGGAAACTCATTTCAGCCCCTTGTATCCGAGACCTTGTCCTTTCGGCCATGACCCATGAGTCATGACCATAGGTGAAAGTAGGAACGTAGATTGACCGGTAAATTGAGAGCTTTGCTATTTGGCTAAGCTCTTTCTTTAAACTATTTCAGGTTTAGCAATTCTAGAAATAATAAATCCATAAGAAAAGATATATGACTGGTTTTAAAGAGCTAATTTAATTTAGGGTTTTATTCATTGAACAAAAAACATGTTTACAGCATTCAACATTTGAAGTATGCTTGCTTGATGCATGAGAACCGATAGGGTTCACTCTTGTGTGTCATGTGTCAGGTTAAAGTTGCAGTAAGAACCAACAGGATTTGATCTGAGCCTCAGTTCATATTTACCTTAATAATAATAATTATTAATTCTATACATTTATATAGTGGTTTTCTGGACGCTCAAAACACTTTACGCATTTTTTGAGGGGAATCTCCTCATTCACAACCAGTGTGCAGCATCCACATGAATGACGTGATGGCTGCCATATTGCGCCAGACTGCACACCACACACCAGCTGATTGGTGAAGGGCCAATTATGATATGTGGATGGTTAGGAGGCCATGATGGACAGAGGCCAGTGGGCAAATTTGGTCAGGACGCCGAGGTTAAACCCCTACTTTTTCAGAGTCAGGACCTCAGTTTAACGTCTCATTCGAAAGATGGCGCTCATTGAGCAGTATAGAGTCCCCATCAATATACTGGGGCATTAGAACCCACATAGACCGCAGGTTGAGCACCCCCTGCTGGCCTCACTAACACTACTTTCGGCAGCAACCTAGCTTTCCCATGTGGTCTTCCATCTAGGTACTCACCAGGCACAGCCCTGCTTAGCTTAAGTGGGCGACCATGTGAGAGTTACAGAGAGCAAGCTATGCAGTATACTAGCCATGAAACCATAACATAAAGCATTGCTATTCTGCATCATTTAGGGCAACCAGAGCTGAGAACACTTCCCTAAAGACATAATTGGAACAACATCTGTGCTTATATTAGTCTGGTTTTATTATTCCAGAGGTTTCCATAATCCTGGACCAGGCCGTATCCTGAGCAGACACTGTGGCGGTTAAAGAAATAACGATAAATCAAATTGAATATCACAATATTTAATCACAGAAATATTAAACATCGCAATATCAAAGTTTTTCAATATCATGCAGCCCTAATATGAATCACCAATGACCACATTTTAATCTAAAAAATTATTTTTAATATTCAACTAAAAAAAAACTAAAAGTCACCCACATCTTGTACAGATGAAGGTTAAAGCCAGGTGTACACAATGTGAATTTTGATGGTTGGAAGATCACGTCCATTTTCGTCTGCACTAGTTGTTTAGGATTGGTTTGGTGTGTCACAGACATCCATTAACCCCCACTTTTTGTAAGCTTCAAAATAAAAGCCACTATCCAACACCATTAAACAGCACGGAAGAGCCAGGATAAAATTTAAAATTACTCACTCTGTTTGTCTGACCGAGAAAAAAGTCATTTACACAGAGGATGGAGTAAATTATGGGGTAATTTTCATTTTTAGGTGACCCATTCCTTTCAGTAAAATAACAGTACATGTCCATTTTTGGTTGAAAGTAAGCCCTTGACTCTGATGATAACTGCCTAACAAGTGGACAACTGTGAGTGCACTCATAATGCGCGGCTGCAGAAGTGAAATAGCAGGGAGATGCGCAGCTGTTTAACTCCTGAGGCGACACAAGCAGCAGGATCACAGGTCCACTCCCAGGAGACGCGGCACTCCAAAGACTGACTCTTAATTGAAGTGCTAATTGGTTAACTGTCCGCCTCTGGGATAGATGTCATGTTGTGTGCTAAACAGCGAGGGTGGCGACACTACTGACAGCTCAATCTAAATGCACGCCGCTTCATTATGATCTATGAGCATCCGTGTGTCAAAGCGGTTATATAAACGTTACTTCCCGCAAACCCGGAGATGTTGAAGAAAGCATTCTCCGCAAAATCAATACAACCGACTTGTCAAACATACCGGCATATTCACACAACGATAACAAATGTATACTCGCAAAATATATATATACACACTTTGTGGTTAACAAGGAAGTCTGCCAGAGGAGGCGTGTCGGCCCTGCAGGCATTTGTGTTTCTGCCAAGAAGAGACACAAGTACTATAGAGAAATCAGAGAGGAAGACGAAGAGAATGAGGGAAGAGCTGAAGAGAGGAAGATGCCAGCAGACGGAAACTCTGAATGGTGGGAAAGAGGGTACTGAAAAAAGAAAACGACACACAGGGACAGTGTCTTCATGGAAGAGAGTGTGAAAGAAGTCTTTATCTAGTTGACTGTCGAGTGTTTGTTTCTGCAAAAAAAAGAGTCATCCTAGGAGGAATCTTTCTTACCTGGCATTCGCTCATGGGTTCCTCTTCCTTTGTTTCCACCTTTTTATCCAGCAGTTCACCGCTGAGGAGTGACTCCAGGACGGGACCATCAGGAACACCCCCTTCTTTCTTTAGCGCTGCTTCATAGTCTGGACACACAAGGCAAATAAATGTCATCTTATAACAACGCAAACCATTTAGTTTGGGCTGTCAGGATGAACTTGCATTTAAAGATTTGTGATGTTCTTCACTGTTGTAATGCTAGAAGACGTCATTATGCCAACATATCGATTACAAAGCCACATTATCAATAATTTGCGGTGCTCTTTGTAGATTACAGTGGCCAAATAACGGTTGTGTTTGTGTTTTTAAAATTGTCATTAGATCATCTGCAGAATTTTATGAGATTGCCGTCTTACATTATTTGAATAAATCTGGCCCTAATACAGCAAAAGGGTAACACAACCAACACTGAATATTCTGTCACCATTTACCAACCCTTCAGGTGACACAAACATGTTTGACTATCTTTCTTCTGTTGAAAACGAAAGAAGCTGTTCTGAAGAAAACTGGTAACCTCTAAAAATGAACTTGGATAGTATCTGTTAATCCTATAGTATGGATGTCAATGGTTACAGGTTTTCAGAAGGTTTTCAAGGTTTGGAAGCACTTGAGAGTGAGTGAATAGTGAGTATTATTTAATTATTTTCATTAGTAATACAGCAAGTATTATTACCAAAAAAGGTTTAAAAAATGTGAATACTTTAAACTTTCTTTTGATGAAAGAAAAATGTAACACAAAAATATTAAAAAGTACAATTGGTTACAACCAAGCATGGACAAAGTACACAAATCAAGAATCTGAGAAATATACAGATACCATAATAAAAAAGCACTCATTCACTGTAAAATCAAAGTGCAATTAATTCAATTAAATGAGTTTTAACTTTAACTCAAATATTAATGAAAGTTCTTTTTACTTAAAATAAATAAGTCACAGCAGGTTTCTTGTACCTAGCATGCTTTGTAATTACAAAAGCATACTTATGACAAATAAATGGCACAGGTTCACAAAAGAGATAAAAGCTATAGATAAAACTATCTTTTCTTATACTTTTGCTGTTGAAAACACTATTGGTTATAGTTTAGGGAAGGGTTGACGTCAGTGGTTCATTAGGTCAGTGGTCCCCAACCTTTTTATCACCAAAGACCGGTCAACGCTGGACAATTTTACCAGGGACCAAGGGGGCAGGGGGGAGTTTACATAGATTGCTAGGCGACCACCAACCATATTCTCAGAGGATGACAAGCTCACAAAACAATGTTTTAACTCTGATACAAGTTTTATTTATGGAGAAAATGAAAAAGCGCTACAGTGTTTGCGTGCTCTGTGTTTGTCTAAAATAATTAGTTTACCGAAATGTGTACATTCCATACAAAGTATGAAGCTGATTGGACTGTTCTTGTCACTTGACTCGTGGTGCGCTCGCAGCATTTTTTTAACTGGTTGCGTCTGGAAGGCGCGAGCACATCCCGCCGCTTGCAGGTGCAAGCCGCACATCTCCATTGAAAATAACCAACTTACGTGCAGAGAAGCCCCGATATGTGAACGGCCCCTAAAAGCCTGCCATCATTTTCATTCTCCAGCAGTTGATCTTGTTGCACAGACATGCTGGATTCACCTAAATTGTTGAAAAATGGGTTGCAGATCTATTCCATGGCAGTTCACTGGGCCTTTTCCTCTTATCAAAAAAGCTTTCCAAAGACGTCTGTTTCTTACTCATTTTGCTAGCTTGTGGTTTAAATTTGGGCACTCAAATGACCGGGATGTAAGCGAGAGATTACAGTCATGTTTCAAAATAAGAGTTTGTTTAAATAGTTAATTAATGAATGATTTTTTCTAATGCGCCCGGTACCAATTGGCCCGGTGGTTGGGGACCACTGCACTAGGTGACCTGTACTTCTCATGGACATGTAAAAAAACGTGTATCTGAAATGACCAACAAAATATACCCTAAGTAATTTGTTCACAAGATTAACAAAAATCTAGGCAGTGCCCTAAATTTGTCAACTGAAATGTACCCGAGAACTGTATTTTATATTTCACAAATATGTAAGCTAAGGTACATATTTCCAACTAGCCAGGGCTCTTAAAAACAAACTAATTAGCATTCTAGTATCTAGTTAGTGCTATGACAGCAAGAAGATGCATTAACATTACCTAATGTTATATTAGCATTGTGTTGCGATTGTAAATAAACAGACATTTTTACATTCAAGCATTTTACAAGCTAACAGTAGTACCCTAAATATGATTTTCATTTACGAAAATAAATCCTAATATTCAGCATTATTAGCTTACTTTCACACCACAACATAATTATGAAATGCAATGAAATAAGGTAAAGTTTCCCAAAATAGAAATACTTTGATAAAGTACAGAAGCAAACATGAAAATACATTGCTTACCACTGTTTTCAAGAAATGTTTTGGTCACACTTTACATTAAGGTTTCATTGGTTGAAGTTCATTCATTCATTTTCTTTTTGTCTTAATCCCTTTATTAATCCATGGTCGCCACAGCAGAATGAACCGCCAACTTATCCAGCACATGTTTTACGCAGTGGATGCCCTTCCAGCTGCAACCCATCTCTGGGAAACATCCATGCACACTCATCCACATTCATACACTACGGACAATTTAGCCTACCCAATTCACCTGTACCGCATGTCTCTGGACTGTGGGGGAAACCGGAGCATCCGGAAGAAACCCACGCAAACGCGGGTAGAACAGAAACGCCAACTGACCCAGCCGGGGCTCAAACCAGCGACCTTCTTGCTGTGAGGCGACAGCACTACCTACTGTGCCACTGCATCGCCATTAGTTGAAGCTGTTTAATGAATTTACCAACTTGAACTAATAATGATGAAAAATGCATTATACATCATTTATTAACTAGAAGAGTAAAGTTCAGACACTCGTAACTTTATGGTGGCTTGAGAAAGCCTAGTCTGAAAGTTTGAAGTAGTTTTAAAGTTTAAATACCTAAAGTAGTTTTTAAGAAACAGTTGGCATAGATAGATAAGTACATATATGTTAGCATGTTTCTAGTATGGATTGGCATGTTTCTTGCTAGGCGGTTGCTAGAGTGTTTTGTATGGTCGCTAAAGTGTTGCTATGTGGTTGCAAGGTGTTGCTAGGCAGTTGCTAGGATTTTCTGAGTGGTTGCTAGGGTGTCCTGAGTGGTTGCTAGGCAGTTGCTAAGGAGTTGCTAGGGTGTTCTGAGTGGTGGCAAAGGCTTTGCTAGGCGGTTGCTAGGATACTCCAGGTCATTGCTAAGGTGTTGCTAGGTGGTTGTTAGGGTGTTCTAAGTGGTTGCTAAGGTGTTGATATGTAGTTGCTAAGGTGCTCTGAGTGATTGCTATGCAGTTTCTAAGTCATTGCTAGGGTGTTCTGATTAATTGCTAGGCGGTTGCTAAGATGTTCTGAGTGGTTGCTAGGCAGTTGCTAAGGTGTTGCTAGGAAGTTGCTAGGGTGTTCTGAGTGGCTGCTAGGCAGTTGCTAACATAAATTAGCATGATTCTAATTTGAATTAGCATAGTTCTAGCATGGATTAGTATATTGCTATTATGAATTTGTATGTCTTTAGTATGTTCAATGTAAAGTCAATGGCAATTTTTTTACAATGTAAGTCTATGGAACAGTTGCTAGGGTACTGTAAGTGGTTGCTAGGGTGTGGCTACTAAGTTAAAATATATCATTGATTGGCAGATTAGTAGTCTGAGTTAAATGAGCCCAAACTTAATTCTGTATGACAGTCTGGAGCAGAGTTATGAGGTCACATAGTTTGGTCTAATGTTAAGTCAATGGGACTTTTCCGAAACTTCCGGGTCATTTTTTCTGACAAGTTGGAAAAGATATAGCAACCCGAGTCAGAGCAGTTTGGAGGTTTGCAGTTAGTTTGGTCTTTGTAACTTGAATGGTTTAGGAGGAGATGCATATAGAAACTAGTCTCAGAAAAAGATGGAAAGAGAATAATAAGTTTATGTAGTATAACAGTGTGTTGCCTTTTGTTATCGTTCAACACAGAATAATGAATTATTAAAATATCTTTAGGCTTGTTAACATTAGTTAATGCACTGTGAGCTAACTAACAATGTAGGACTTTATTTTCATTAACTGTTAACAAAGATTCATTTCTTACTGCATTTCTGTAACCGTTTTAATTTTTATACATTTTTTATTAGGATGATATGTGGAAAAATACGATTGTCATACTTACAAAAACATCAAACATTTAGTTTAATTTTACCGATTTTAAACTCGATGGGTCCAAGACGTGGATCCTCTAAGATGTTCAACCGTCTCTTCTTCCTCCAGCACCGTGCAGGATAGGTATAGAGCTGCCCTGGAGCCACACCTGGGTCAAACAGATGCAGAGTGGCCACATAAACACCCAAAACCCAAAACTTATGTTAAAGTCACCTGTGTAGTAGGATACACACAGACACACACCTGGCCCACGGTGAGTCTTCTCCATCCATATGTAGCAGTTACTCTGTGCTACACCTGTCTGGGAGTCGAGGAAGGGCAGGCGCATGGAGCGTTCGGCACAAAGTCGAGCATTATAACTGCGGCAGTGCTCAATCGCCTCACGATAAAACTCCTCACCAAGGCTGGAAACATTTCAAAAACAATCTAAGTTTAATACAGGTTATTTTTTTTCCTCTCATGTACGAGATTGTGGCCTGTTTCATTTTATTTTCTCTAAACAATGAAATAATGACTATGAAAATCAGTTAGCCACGACTAAAGATGCAAACTAACAAGTCATTCAGTATACCAATAGTTTATTTACCAAAAATCTTGTCACAAAATGAAACATTTCACGACATATTAAAGGCTCTAATTAAACAAAGTTCACCCAAACATGTAAATTTACTTACCCTCAAGTGGTTCCAAACCTTTGTGAGAGTCTTTATTGTTTTAAACACTGGTGAAGATATTTTGAAAAATGTTTGAAACCATTAACCAACAACCATTGACTTCTATAGTTGGAAAAACAAATACTATGGAAGTCAATGGTTACAGGTTTCCAGCTTTCTTCAAAATATCTTCTTTTATGCTGAACAGAAAAAAATATATAAACTCTTTAAGATTTGAAGCAATAATGGGGTAAATAATGGAGTAAATGATGACCAAATTCTCAATTTTGGGTGAACTAACCCTTTAAGCATGACAAAAATACCAAAATACTAATTCACTGCCATTTCAAATCCTTGTACTTTCTCAAATTCTTCAAACCAGTAGGTTTCACCTATGTGTCAAGAATGAGGCTTTAAAAAATTTAAAGCAGATATGACAGATTTGAATAACTTTGAATGACATCTCACCATGGATTTTTAATTAGGTTTAGTTCAGGACTCTAGGCTGTCCTTTCATTTTGTCAGTATTTTTAAAAAGCCATTTGAACTGGAAGTTGCTAAGACTTTGATTACTTATATTAACAAAGATTAATTTATTACTTAAATTCTTTGTCTTTTTTATACATTTGTTTTATGACGATGAGGTTTTAAATAATTTAAAGCAGATATGACAGATTTAAATAGCTTTAAATGACCTTAACATCCTATTAAGGACTTTCAATCAAGTGTAAATCAGGACTCTAGGCTGTCCTTTCATATTGTCAATATTTTTATTTAAAACCTATGTGAACTGGAAGTTGCTGACACTTTTATTACCAATGTTAACAAAGATTCATTTATTACGGCATTACTGTAACCTTTTCTTTTTTATACATTTGTTTTATTAGGATGTTACATGAGAAAATATGATCGTCATTCCCACAAAAATAACAATGAGGTTTTAAATAATTTAAAGCAAAAATGACAGATTTGAATTGCTTTGAATGACTTCAGGGGCAGCATGGTGGTGCAGTGGGTAGCACAATCGCCTTAATAGCTTGAAAATCCATGTGAACTGGAAGTTGTTGAGACTTTTATTACCAATGTTAATAAAGATTTATTTACCCCTGTATTACTGTTCATGTACTTTCAACTAAAACGGAATATTGAGTAGGGGGTGGGGCTTTCAGTGCATCATTCCCTCATAGCAAATTAACAGTAAGAGGGGCGTGGTTAAGAATATTGTGGCTGAAGCTGTCAAACTGACTTCATCAGAGAAAGACCATCACTCCAAACAAAGAAGCAAAAGGAAGATTACCAAAACTAACTTTTCCTTTTCAACTTTAACTTTCTATAGATTAATTCATCACCTAAAGAATAAAACTTTAAGGAACTGCTTTACTTGTTTTGCTGTGTCATGAGGTTAATTGTCCTGCATAAAATTGCTAGCTAGTTGGCAGGGAAGGAACTGAATGTTGCCTCTGATTAACGCTTTTATTTATTCCGTCATATACAGTGAATCCGGGAAGTATTCAAAGCACTTTTTTATATTTTGTATGTTAAGACTTTTTATGTCACAACCTTATTCCAAAATGGAAAAATTCTACACACAATACCCCATAATGACAATGTGAAAAAAAAATTTTTAAATTGTTGCAAATTTATTAAAAATAAAAAACCTGAAAAATCACATGAACAGAAGTATTCACAGCCTTTGCCGTGAAGCTCTTAATTGAGCTCAAGTACATTCTGTTTCCACTGTTTCCACACTTGAGATGTTTCAGCAGCTTAATTGGAGTTCACCTGTGGTAAATTCAGTTGACTGAACATGATTTGAAAAGGCATACACCTGTCTATATAAGGTCCCAGGGTTGACAGTGCATGTCAAAGCACAAACCAAGCATGAAGACAAAGGAATTGTCTGTAGACCTCCAAGACAGGATTGTCTCGAGGCGCAAGGCTGGGGAAGGTTCCAATGAGCACAGTGGCCTCCATCATCCATAGATAAAAGATGTTTGGAACCACCAGAACTCTTCCTAGAGCTCTTCCTAGGCCATCTAAGCTGAGTGATCGGGGGAGAAGGGTCTTAGTCAGGGAGGTCATAAATAACCTGATGGTGACTCTGTCTGAGCTCCAGCGTTCTTCTGTGGAGAGAGGACACCCTTACAGAAGGACAACCATCAGCTAATCAGGACAACTAATCAGGCCTGTATGGTAGAGTGGCCAGACGGAAGCCGCTCCCCCCCCCCCTGGAAACTGCCTAAATGCATCTGAGGCACTTTCAGACCATAAGAAACAAAATTCTCTGGTCTGATGAGCATAAAATTTAACTCTTTGGAGTGAATGCCAGGTGTTACTTTTGGAGAAAACCAGGCATCGCTCATCCCAAGGCTAACACCATCCCTAAGGATGGTGGTGGCTGTATCATGCTGTAGGGATGTTTTTCAGCAGCAGGAACTGGAAGACTAGTCAGAGGGAAATATCAATGCAGCAATGTGCAGAGACATCCTGAATGAAAACCTGCTTAAAAGTGCTCTTGACCTCAGACTGGGGCGACGGTTCATCTTCCTGCAGGACAATGACCCAAAGCACACCACCAAAATATCAATGAAGTGGCTTCACAACAACTCGGTAAATGTCCTTGAGTGGCCCAGCCAGAGCCCGGACCTAAATCCTATTGAACATGAAAATGGCTGTACACCATTGCTTCCCATCTAACCTGATAGAGCTTAAGAGGTACTGCAAAGAGGAATGGGCAAAAATTCCCAAAGACAGGTGTGCCAAGCTTGTGGTATCATATTCAAAAAGACTTGAGGCTGTAATTGCTGCTAAAGGTGCATCAACAAAGTATTGAGCAAAGGCTGTGAATACTGATGTACATTTAATTTTTCAGGTCTTTTGTTTTTAATACATTTGCAACAACTAAAAAAAAAAAATCTTTTTCACATTGTCATTATGGGGTATTGTGTGTAGAATTTTGAGGAAATAAACTAATTTAATTCATTTTGGAATAAGCCTGTAACATGTGGAAAAAAATGTGGAAAAAGTGAAGCGCTATGAAAAATTTCCGGATGCACTGTAGCTGCTGCATTTAAACAAACCCCAAACTATGACACTACACTTCCAGCTTTACTGACTTCTCCAAACCCATTGGGTTCAGTCTTTGCCCAGTTAAAATGTGAACATAATGTTTCCCATCAGAAATTACCAGCAGGTTTCAGATTAACACCAACAACTGGGAGGATCTGAAAGTATTCTCTAATTTTGATCAGTGTTGTTTGTTTTTCAAATATTTCATTCATATTGTTTATACTGTGTTTCAGAATATATGTGGAACTTATAAAATGTGCTTATTTAATCTTGCTAGGATATCTTCCACTTCACAGTGAACATTAACAAAATTCATATTTTAGCACATATATGCATTTTAAACATCTTTTTCTCTTCTGGGAAATTAGAGCAAAAATATTGATGAGTCACGCTGCGCTAAACAGATTTTGTCCAAGTAACTTCAAGGGTCTTTAAATTTTCATCCATCTACGCAGAGAACTCTCTGTACTGACATGCAGGAAGTAAATAACATTCTTTGCTGGCACCTAATTAGGAATATAAATCTCCTTTCTGCACTGAAACATACTTTACTGCATTTGCATTGCAATGTATTGCACAGAATCTCGCTCGAGGATTCAGGTGTTTGGACCTGCTGTTTAAAAACACTGCAGCATGAGAACGGTGTCGAGCATTAACAGTTCATGTTGATAAAAAAAGAGCGCAGTCAACAGTTCTGTCCTCAGGAGTATGTTTACATGCTTGAAACTAGCCAGGACAAAAGTAGCGAACAGTGATTTTAATGCTGAGGCTGCACTGAGAAACCTGCTTGGCAAACTGCTGCATTTGTGGAACAATTTTAAGATCAGGGAAACATTTTATACAAACTCTCATGAATAAGTCAGGAACAACTGTTTTATTCTGCTTTACAGATCAGTTGATTTGCATTCATGTGTGAATATATAAAAGACATTTGACTGTGAGTTTAATTAGCTTTTATTTCTTTTGCAAAGGATAGGATAGGATAGGATTTAATAGGAAAAAGAAGGGCACTTGGTTGTATTGAATGTGCATTTCTAATTTAAAAGCTGCTTCAAAATAATTGATAAATAAACATTTCTTAATAATTAATTAATAAAAACACTAATATGAATAGGAGTTACCAAATTGCAGTTACTTAAGTACTTAATGCACTTGAAGCACTTCACACTTCACACACATTAACACAACACTATTTTTAACTAATAATTATGTTTGTGCTTGTGTGCGTGTGTGTAAAAGTGAAAAATTGGAAATCTCTGTGAAACATCAACTGGGAAATATTTTGAAAAAGAAACCACAGAAGGGCTAATAATTTTACACACACACACACACACACACACACACACACACATACTGCACACATATACACTCACCGACCACTTCATTAGGAACAACTGCTCGTTAACGCAAATTTCTAATCAGCCAATCATATGGCAGCAACTTAATGCATTTAGGCATGTAGACATGGTCAAGATGATCTGCTGCAGTTTAAACCAAGCATCAGAATAGGGAAGAAAGAGGATTTAAGTGACTTTGAACCAAGCGGCAACCTCCCGCTCTCTCTCAGAAAGCCAATACGGAAGTAACTAAAACTGCAATTCATCCGAAATTCCGCTAGTCGTGGCCGCTCCTAGCTCCAAAACAGAGCAAATTTCAATTGAGCCCACTGTTGGAATGGCCAA